CTTGTAACTACCGAGGGGAAGGTAGAAATAGCTTTCGGGTTATGCGATTAAGAGTGCGCACGGGCTTTTACGAGCTAAGCATCAGGATCACTTGCTAGTACGAAGAACCATTGTATGTCCATCGGGTGCGCGGAAGTTTCAGCTTTCCAACGGTTGCTGTTTCACGTCACTGTGACATCTGCAAGCCGAGAAAGTAACAGTTGTGTGAAGCGTATCCGACCGCGTCGCTGACGCGAGCAGCTGAGGTTTGTTTTGTTTACATCACGTGCAGGTAGAGGCGTGTTTGCATTCCGCTGCATCCCACAGCGAGCTTTTTCCAGGAAAGCCTCGATGCTACGCGTGCGTAGGCGATTCGGGAACGCGGCCTTGCCCCCACTCTCTCTATTTTACGCCACACCACCACACCGACAACGACACGACATGGTCGTGCCTGCCTCGCTCAGTTCGCAGTGCGCCGGCGCTCGCGCTGCGGTTCACAATGGAGAGGTTATGTTATTAGCGCTCGCAGCAGGAGATTAAGAACCCTATTCCGTAATCACTTCTCGACAATTGTCGGATCGGTAGACGTCGTTGCGCAGCTTTTTTATACTATAGTCAAACGTCTTCAGTTTCAAAACTTGTGATACTTTTGTTGGCACACGGAAAAAAGAGATGTGGTGCACCTAACAGAAAATATTTAGTTGTAAGCAAATAGCTGCATCATTCTACATATCTTTGTATGATAGTTATGTGTATGGTTGATTTGACTTACTTTGGTGTGTGTCAACTACATCAATGAAGTTGCGCGTGATCTGATTGTAGCAACCAGAAATTAGTAAGGGGATCATTTTGCATAGACAAGCTAAATATCGATGTGCATTAATTAATGCTATATTGCAAAGCAGCGATGTTAGAAAACAAAAGCAATTCATTACGCGCACAGCTAGAGAGTATACATGTGAAAACTGGATCTGAGTGTATAAACATTTGTATGTATATACATTTGAGTGTATATACATTTGTAGTTGCCGCGTAATGAGTCGCGTTTGTATTAACCATGTATTATCACTGCTGCAACATAAATAACTCAGCCATTGCTCTTTGGTCACAGCAACCACATAAATAATTGTTCCGTATTTTACTATTGAATCTGGTTGGCACAACCAGATTTCTGTATGGATCAACCATATTGTTTTTTCCGTGCACATTTGCATTCGCTAACCACACTTCGTGTACTATGTTGACATGCATGATTATACAGGGTGAGCCATTTTAATCGATGGATCCAAATTGTTTCTAAAATACGCCAGCTACAAAAAAATGATTAAGACAAGAATTGTAGAGCACAACGGGGGTCATTTTACCTAATAATTTTGACCTTCAGATCGATTTTCAAGGTCATTCGAAGGTCAAAGTCATTTTTTTAAATTAGAACCCCTATTTTTGACACCGGATTCGAAAAGAGCAGAAAATTTTACGTTAAAAATGATATTTAGATTTTTTTTCTGAGTCCAAGAAGGTCAAATAAAAAATGATTAAAAACAACTTAGAAGCTGTTAATGTTAATTTTAAAGATTTTTATGCATGATAAGTGTTTCGCGGTACTAACAAATACTAATAGAAGAAAAGTTGCGAAACGTTGTCATTCCATTTCCGAAATTGATGCACAATAATCTCACTTTGATATGATTATTAATAAGGCGTAATAAATAAAATTTTAAAAGTAAAAACAAACACTTGTGCCTTGAAGCAAACGGAGGCAACTTTGAACAGTTACTCCGTGGGTAATTATGATAAATTGCAGTTATGGTGAGAGGCAAGAGGACTCACGATAATCAAGCACCCCAGATGTGAGAGGCAAGGGGACTCACGATAATCAAGTACCCTAAAGGAAACAGAACTTACTACGTCCACGTCGTTGTTTCCGGGTAACGCTAAAAGTTGAATTAACATCTTCCAAGTTCTTGATTTGACCTTCTTGGACTCAGAAAAAAAATCTAAATATCATTTTTAACGTAAAATTTTCTGCTCTTTTCGAATCCGGTGTCAAAAATAGGAGTTCTAATTTAAAAAAATGACTTTGACCTTCGAATGACCTTGAAAATCGATCTGAAGGTCAAAATTATTAGCGCGGTAAAATGACCCCCGTTGTCCTCTACAATTCTTGTCTTAACCATTTTTTTGTAGCTGGCGTATTTTAGGAGCAATTTGAATCCATCGATTAAAATGGCTCACCCTGTATATAGAATAGGGCCCCACTAGCCTTGTTCTGTAACTCGTTTTTGGAGTTAACGATTCGTTATTGGAGTTGCGTTATCGTTGCGCAGCTTTTTTATACCATAGAAAAGCTGCGCAACGACGTCTACCGATCCGACAATTGTCGATAAGTGGTTACGGAACCCAGGTCGTAACTCAGAACGAGATCGCGGCTCGCCAAAGTCGACACGCCGAGGTATGGGACGAAGAGCAATCTTCTCCGCGCGCAATCTCGCGCGCGTTTATGATCCTTCTCATCGTCGATTTCCACGAGACTACTGTACGCAAAACGTCGCGGTAGATTCAAAGTCGCGGTAAGTTATCCTAATCTCCTTCATTCGTGTCGAAGTCGGCAAGATAACCTGCTTCGTTATGTTGCCACATCGCGCCCTTTTCGCGTGTCTGTATGTGAAAAGCATGCTCGTCGCACTTGAATACGCGAAGCGTTCTTAATTAGCTGTAAGATGAAAGAAGCAGTGAGACTAGTGAACAAGAGAAATGGTAGAAAAGGATGGGTTTCTTGTTGTTTCGCCAGTTTCAGTTAGTTAGAGAATTTTCGTCTATTATTCCGCAACAATCCGCATACTTATCAGTTGTTACATGTTTATTTCTCCTGAGAGAGCTCGCGTTTGTTTCGGAGGAGAATATGCGCGTTAAGAAATTTCTCGTATGAATCGCGGTTGCGAAGACATTTATAATTAAGTGACTGCCGGCGGACGTGTTAAGCTTGCTGCTTGCTGCATTATCCTTCTAGTTCAATATTTAAGATCGCGGGAAAGAATAATACATGTTCTGTCTGTGGCTTTCTCTCTCTCTCTCTCTCTTCCTTTATATACGTTTAGTGCATTCTTAACGACTTTTGCTGCGTAATAGCTGTAGAACTCCGAATTGATGGTATCAGAAGCGAGAAAACGCATGCTTGAAGCTCTTGTGTGACCTTTTCAAATAAAAAGATATTTGTACGAAAGAACATTTCTGAGTGCCTGATATACTTATAAAATGCTCCGAAAACTATGTTTTTTTCTTGGATGTCAATGCATATTCTTAAAATTAACGTGACATGCAACTTTCCTCTTTAATTTATCTTCCCTCATAATTCTACCACGTTCATTTTACGGCTATCTATCGCCTATCAAGAGGAAAGGATAGTTTCCGAAACATTTTGCAAGTATGCGCTTAAGCGATCTGAAGCGTTCTTTCGCAAGAACATCTTTTTATCTGGAAATGACAAGAATTTTCAGCGTATCATTTCTCGCTTCTGGCATCACAATGCAATATGGCATTACTCGCCGCGACGAGTACTCGGAAGCTGTAAGTTTCGCGATCATCTTGATTGATAACGTCAGAAGCGGGGAAATGCATACCCAAAATTCCTGCAAACAGTACGTCAAAATGAAAAAATATTTTTAAAAAACGACACTTGCAATAGATCATTTCTAAAAAAGAACATTTCTGAAATATTCTTGTTCCAACAATCAATAAATAACCGTAAAACTAACGTAGCAACCTTTTTTTTCTCTCTCTCTCTCGATTTACATTTCCTCCTTTTTATATTTTTCCTATTTTATCACGTTAATTTTACGGTTATTTATTGTTAGAACGAGAGCAAAGTATTCGAAGTATTTCAGTCGCTCTCGGTGACAGCGTATTTCAGTCGTACTATGTTTATAATTAACTCAATAACTCTCGTCGATACATTCGCGAATATACATGTATAATTAAACACGGCCGGAAGAGAAAGCGCGCGCGGTCTCATGTTTTCCGCTCGAGTCCCGCGGAACGTCAGGGACGCCGTAATTCGGCGAAGGATCCCGCTGCGAGCGTTTACGTTTTGCGCTTTATCTTGAGAGGTAACTGACGTACAAACAATTACCAGGCAGTCTCATTAAGGCGGAAGCAGCCCGCTTCGACCTCTTACCGCTCTTAAGGCACTTGAATGCAGCTATATCAAGGATTATCCGAGACAGTGACATACAGCGTATTTGCATTTCGATTTACGAAAAGCACAAAATCCCGCGCCGGCCGTAAATTAAATAACAACAGCTGTTCCAAGAGTTCCTCCGCTTTATGCTCGACGACGGGAGGAAGAATTATTGCGTCGTTGGCGCGACGGGGTGACGAGGACGAGGGAGGAAGGACCTCGTAACGATAAGAAATGCATCGCCTGAATGTATACGTGTATATATTGCGGCTTTCTATCTCGCTAAGATCACGTGTGAAATTGGACGGCGATGCGTCTTTATTTATACGATACCTTCTTGCGACAAATCAGTCCGCGATGCAGCAACGAGGAAGAGAGAGAGAGAGCAGCGTCGCGGACGAAGAATGCTCTCGAGATAATTAAGCGAGTTTTACTTGGACGGATTAGCCAAACAATTTAAGGAAGTGTATAATTGCGAAGATACACTTCGTCCCCGCTGCGAGCTCTCTGCGCATTGCCTCTCGGAAGTTGAAAATTCGCGACCAAGCCGACGACGGCCGGACGTCCGTCCTCGTGAAAAAGTGAAGAGTCGGGAGAGCAAAAAGTGACCGCGAATCGAGTGGGAACGAACGTTGGCGCATCCCGGACGTTCCTGTTAACTCCCGGGCAGGCAACGCGTGCGACATTAACAAATAACGTTCGGCTCGTTCGTCGCACTCAGCACGGGGTGCCGATTAGGGCGAATGGGTGGCGGGCAAAAACGGGAATGCATTTGCACGGTAACGACATTTCCATGCAATCTCAGACCGCGCGCGCGCGCGCGGACGCTGTTTTATTCCCGCAGGTTCCATCCTTCAACGGATCCTCTTACCTACGTTATCCGGGATTGGCGGACACGTCGCTGTCGTGGCTGGAATTGTCCGTCACGTTAAAACCGACCGCGCAGGACGGCGTGATACTCTACAACGGCCATCACAGCGACGCCACCGGTGACTTTATTGCGCTCTATCTCTCCTCGGGCCACGTGCAGTTCACCTTCGACCTCGGAACAGGACCTGCCACTTTGAGGTAAGCCGATGGTCCTCGACGAACTTCGTCGACTCTCTCTCTCTTTCACTCTCTGTTTCTCTCTCTCTCTCTCTCTCTCTCTCTCTCTCTCTCTCTCTCTCTCTCTCTGTGTCTCTGTTTCTCTCCGTTACGAACGCGCAACCAGAACGCGGTGTGTCTCGAGATGTGACGCAATCCCACCCTCGAGTTCGTTTCGCGATAGACGTTTCTCACGACGCGAAGCGGGACGGGACGAAACGTCGCGCCGACGAGCAGGCGCTAATTGCGTCGTTTGCGTATGCACCGTCGAACAATCCGCGTTAATTAAACGAACTCGCGCGTCCGTCGCCGGGGTTTTTTTCCCGTTGATTTGACGCGGCGTCACGTGGCGTCGCGACGCCTCCCATCCCAAGGTACGAAAAGTCACAGCGCGCGCCGATCGGATTTGAATTGCCGCGGATGCTATTAATTGATGACGTAGGAAATGATCGTGGTTGAGCAAGATCGGTCGAGTGAACACCGGTCGGATGTTGCCTCGGATGAGGAAGCCGTGAATCGATATCGCGCGCGTGCTCCTGGCGAGGTGCGAGGCTGTTTCGCGTCGATGTTCCGCGAAAAGCGAAACGTTAATGAGCGCTAATGCTGATCCAATTGCTCGCCCGAGTCGCCACGTAATCCTTCGTGACAATCAACGACGGTTGAGATGATTATTGTTGCGTAAAATCCATCTCTGCGGAATGAAAGTGGTGTTACAAATATTCAGCGGGTGAATGCTATACGATCACAGTCGCGCATATTTTAGTAATAATTATAACTGAGTGCTCGACGCAGAGAAGTTTGTTCATATGCTCCTGAGATGTATCCTTCATCAGGAAGAGTTTTATGCGTCAAAGTCAACAAGCGTTGGAAAAAGGAGGTTATATATGTAATTTGCGAAAGTGTCTACAATATTGCAAAGTGAACGACGCGTCTCTCTCTATTTTTCACAGTTTCGTATAAATATCGTTTAGGGAAGTAGCTTCTTCTCACCCTTCTTCAATCCTCATCTTTAGATTACATTTCGTTTTAACGTCGAGTTGCAGACAGTCCGTGATTATCATGCGATATCATAATTAACGCGTGGCGTGCCAGACCGTATTATTTAAATCGAGTTGTGTTGGAGGATTTCTGGAACGACACAGCGAAATATTTTCGCATTCTGACGACTTGAATATCTGACTACTTCGTATTCCGTTGAATAAAATCTGAATATTGGAATACCCGCCTGCTACTTCACAATCGAATGAAATTTTAAACAAATCGATAATCCGGGAGGAGGGCAAACATCACGTCGATTTCGTTGCAGCACGTGTTTTCGCTATTAAACAAACAAGATATATCGTAGGCACTTCCGCGTGCAAACACGTAATGTGCATTATTGTATTGTTATTATTGCGGAATATCTGTCGCGATTCCTTTGTCGAATTTTCAGGTTTCAGGACATTTATCTGGTTTGTCGAATTTTTGAATCCGATTTTTATTTTCTGTGATTCTTCAACATTATGGGAATTTTACGCGTGTGGCGAATATTCCGTGTTAAATGTATTGCCGCGATTTAACGCTTTATACAAGTATCGTGTGTAACTTTTCCCTTATGTTATGTTGTTATTTTTACACATGACCGGCACATACAGACGAGATGTTTTTAATACAATATATATCAGATCATTGTTTGTGAAGCGATTATTCGCTCAATAACATTCAAAAGCCGTTTATAAATTTAGTCGACCCGACGATTAATCTGACGTAAAAATACACCATTCTGCTCCAGCCTTCCCGCTAAATAAAAAGTGACCGCCGCGAAACTCCTTTCCGACGTAAAAACGCGCATTATTACGCGCGCCATTAAACAGGGACATTTAACCCGTGTCTAGGGAGAGAGAGGAAAGTGAAAAAAAGCAGTTAACAAGCCAGTCTCGAAGTCTTCCAAGCGTCCCATATCTTTTATCGTAATAGCGCCAAGCGGAAAGTCCAATATGAAAATTTCCGACCATCTCGCTTCTTTATTAATTAGCAATTTACTTCCCGCCTGCAATCCCACCGGTTCCTCTCCTTGTCCCTCACTTTCCGGCTACCTGCCTATCTACTTGCCTGTCGCTTGCCCGTCCTTTTCTCTTCATTCGTTCCTTTCTCTTCATTCGACATTAATTATGCGAGAATTTCTTCTGTCGAATCGCTCTCGAGAAGGTAGTGTGTTCCTCGCCGCGGCCGCGAATCCATTGTCTACGAGACTGCTCCTCCGCGCGGACTTTCCTCGGAAAATTCAAATTGAATGATCTGAGTATGCGGGCGCGTAAAGTTCTCGCGCCGCGCTGAACGTGCGGGAATTTTCGTTTTCCCGATCCGAGAGATCGGGAGGAAAATTCCGTGCTGGGGCGGACTGACTGGCTGACGGACAGACAAACGGACCCGACTAGTTCTGGCGCGGTCTCCCGGGCGTCGTTGACGAAATCAACTCGATGGAGCGTCCGTCGATATCGAGTTAACGTCGATTATAATTGTAGACGCGACGAGAACCAGCCGCGTTAATTGCTTCGCGCGCGCGACACGGAACGGAAGGTGCCGTTTCAATTATCCGAAAGCGCGAGCCTCTTTTTCGCGGCTTTTCCGACGCGGCCGCGACTGCGCCTCATTTCGACGTGGAGATACAATCGCTCCAGGGCGCGAAAGAAAATTTCTACCGCTGCGAGATTCGGCGAGGAAAGGGCAGTAGGAGGTGGGGGAGGAGGGGAGAGGAGGAGTTTTATCATGTAAAAACACATGTGGATGTACGCGTGGAGTATATCCCGCGGAATTGAAATACAATCGCGAGCGCACGAGGGTGATTGTTCATGAAAAAAAATCAGTAGGAAATACGAGATAAATTTGTTCTCGCGCGAGACTTCATTTCCCGGAAAATTGGATTTTAGAAATTTAGAGGGGGTGAGAGAGAGAGAGAGAGAGAGAGAGAGAGAGAGAGAGAAAAAAGAAGAGGGAAGAGAGTAATCTCTCTTTGCCGCCTTTTGCAATTTCGGACGCTCTCCGGCATGGTCTTACGTCGCGCTTCGTCGGCGCGGAAGAGGTCATAACAGTCTCCTTCACTAAACTTCAATTTCTTATTCGGAATTGTCGCGACGCACGGTGGAGATAAGGAAAGATTAAGGGTGAAGTACAGGCTGCATCCGAAATGGCGACCGGTGCGACTGGGAATGAAGGAGAGAGGAGGGTAAAGGGTGATTCCTTTCGTGAGGGAGCAAGTCGAGAGAATGCGAGACGAAATTCGTCGCGTTCGCGAGAAAATTCGCGCCGGAAGATCGGAAAATCGTCGACGTTTCCCCACGCTTCTTTCCCAAGTCTGGATTGACTATCGACGATCGTCGCGATACGTTGTTAGAACTCATTTCGAGTGTGGTTGTCGAGGCACGAACAAAAGGAGATATAAGAAATCGTGATCGGGAGAGAGAAGAGCCAATTAGAGCTAACCTAAAACCCGATTTCCCCGCGGAAGAACTCTTCGTTCGCGACTTCGTTCGTGACTCTCTGTTTCTCAGTCTCTCTCTTCCTCTTTTCCTCACTCTCACGGGGAGCCGTATCTGGCGATTAGCGAACTTTCCCATGGAAATTTTCGCAGAATGCCAGAGAATAGCCGGTGGGTCCTTCGGAGATCGACGATTGTTGCATTCCTGAGGGTTTGTGCTATTTGCATTATCATTTCAGAAGCGAGAATCCGGTTCGTCTCGGCGAATGGGTCGAAGTTCGGGTCTCTAGGACAGGTCGTTTGGCGTCTCTGGAAGTCGAGGACGGCCCTGCCCAGGAAATCCTGGCGCCCGGAGCGTTCACGCAATTATCCTTACCGTTGAACCTCTATCTGGGCGGCGCGCCTTCGTCCGACATGTATTCGCCGAAGATGAAAACTACGGCCAGCTTCGTCGGCTGCATTCAGACGATCGTGCTGAATAATCGCGAGGTAAGAACAGCCCAGGATTATACAGCCTGCTCCGAAGTTACGCAGTAGATAATGCAACTGTCGGGATGCCTCTCGAGTTTGAGCCTCGCTGGCCTGGTAGATAAGACGTTCAACTCCCACTCGGATTACCCGGATTTAAATTCCTATATCTATCACCCCTGGAATTTTATAAATGCGAAATAGAGGTAAGAGACGCGCGCAGGCAAAGTGGAGAGGCGAAGCCCGCGTTTGTGCGCGCGGTGCACGATATATCGTTAAATGTGTACGGAGCATAGGTTGGTAAAGAATTGATCTTTGACAGATTGAGACATAGTTTCCAATATTTCACACGGGAATCTGCAAACTCGGGAAATTGTCATAATTCAATGCTCGTCGCTCGGTCTCTTTTTCTCTCTCTTTCTATCCACTTCCTCTCCTTTCTCTCGCTTCTGCAATTCATCGCCGCTATCTCATTCCCGCACTCTCCTTCTGAAAGATTCATAATTTTAGTTTTGGAAATTTATAGGTCGAGAGGGTGACCCGAATAAAGGTCGAAACGCTTCTGTCTTGTATTCGTGCAAACGAAGCTTTGATTTCGCCGTTTCTACCTCACATTACCACTTGCCTTGTCGTTCGTGCCTTTGAAGCTTCGCCTTTGACGCTTCCTCTCCTCGATTCTTACGTTATTTGACAATCAATTCTTCTACCTTAACAAGATATTTCCATTAAGACAAGTACCCTTCCTGCGCTTTCCATCAAGTTTCCTGCAAATTTCCCCGCAATTATTTCAATTTATTTTATATTCGCTATTATATATTCATTATTGTTGCGTTTTTTTTTTCTAAAAATTTTTGAGTGAAATCCCATCGAGTGAAAATCCCCTCGAAGCGATAGCGAAAATACTGCCACTCGGAATCACAAGAGAGTGTGTTTAACTCCGCAAGGTGGATTCTTAATTCGTGAATATTTCAGTCGATTAAAGCGAATTTGTTTCTGTTAGAGCGCGGAATACGTTACAGATTCACTCTTGAATCCCGAATGAAGATATTCATCCCGACCATTCGGAATGGTGGAAGAATTCACTGCGCGCGAATGGAAAGTTACTCGGTTTCGAGTGACTCGGTTGTTGCTTTGCTTGTCGGATGGAATTTCACTCGAAGAAATCCCGGGAGTGATAATTACGCGGGATTTCCCGTGCGGCTTGTCTAGGTGGGTATCCTGGCCGAGGCCTTGGGCGGAGTAAACGTGGGTAACTGCGGGCACGCGTGCGAGGCGAGACCCTGCGGCGACGCGGAGTGCCGGCCTCTTCGGGAACGATTCACCTGCCGATGCCGACCGGGCGTGCCGCATCCTTGTCCCGCACCGGACGACTACACGCCTCTGGTCCCACCGCCGGCCAAGACCAGCTCCGTGACGTCCGTGAGATACGAGAGGGCCGTGCCGAGCTTCACCGGCAGCGAGAGCTACCTGCATTACAACGACGCCGATACGATGAAAAGGTGCTCGATGACGGCGGACGTCGATAATAGGCGGCTCCCACGGTCGGCTTTTAGCGATTAGCGTTTCGATCGCGTTAAGAAGTGCACACCGTGTCGGGGATCGCGATCGAGGTCACAGTTGCCTGCGTAGGAATCTGATTAATATCGGGACGATTACGCGAACGGACAACTCTCTCTTTTTTCCTTTTTCGTTTGGGAAAAATTACGTACCGGCCAAAATGCAGTAATGCCGCGATGCAGGTGTACGCGAATCCGAGCTATGTGAAGGACACGTACAGTTGCGACTTGAGTAACTGCCCGGTGGAGACGAGGAACACTATCGTGGACGAGAGTCCCATGGGACTTCCATTTGAGAAAAATGGTCGATCGCAACGTTTATCTCTCGATTTTATCTTCTGGAAAACTCACGTGTCCGGAAATTAGACACTGGAAGAGGACATACACGATCCCATCGAGATATCTTTCCGGGAACGAACACATTGAGTGAGTAAATTCAGAGCGCCGTGCGTTCTGCTGCGTGCGTGAGGAAGCTCTTGCGCAAGTCCAACGACGCGTTTGCCCGGCAGGTGATATTCTCACAAAATGCGTGCCCGCGTGCGTGGATGACCCATTTTCGCGATGTAAAAAAAAGTCCCATTCGCCTCACCCATCGACATCCTATTAATGCATGCGCGAAATAATCGGCAGCACCGTAAAAGTTCGGTAAATGTCAAAGCGACACGTGCTCAGTCGTGCCGTTTCAAAAGCTCTGAACAACAGCACGTTGCACGCTGCGTTACACAATCGCCCCTTGACCCGCTTTAATCGCGCGTCGGGCTAGTTTATCGAGCGTCGTCGCCAGTCGTCCGTTCGTTTGTTCGTTCATTTGGTCCCTCCTTGTTCGCCATTAAACGCACTCGTCGGCTTGCAGGATAATCAGCTACAGGGTAGACATCAACATGAGATTCCGCGCCAGCAGCAGCAGCGGCCTGCTGCTCTGGAGCGGCCGACAGTCGGATCCCCAGGAACAAAGGGACGAGAATGATGACTTCCTCGCCCTCGGACTGGATCACGGCTACCTCACCCTCGCGTACAATTTGGGCTCCGGGGAAGCCGTGCTGCGATACAATATCACGCGACTGGACGACGATCTCTGGCATCGTATCAGGGCAGTTAGGTGAGAGTCGATTTATTGGAATCCGTACACTAGCACCTACACAAAGGAGGTTCATCGACCTTTTCGAGCCATTTCTCTACTCGAATGCTATCAATAGATATAGAAAATACCTAAATTATTAGTTTGACGCCAGAATTTTAATATTGTGTAATAAGTAATCTCGGATCTCTTAAGTGAAATGAAACGATTATGTTTTCATGTCGTTTTAGAATTTTTCACAAAACAGTGTATAGGCTAGTTTGATTTATAATCTTCCACAATGCTTCGCATGTATTGTCTTACGAAGTGAATGACATAAAAATGTAATGCTTTCATCTCATCTGTAACAATTCGGAAATATTCATTATACAATTCGATAAGTAAAAAGAAATGGTCTCGTGGGATGCACCGCTCACTCCAAAGAGGCTAAAACTGGATGTTGTTGCCAAAACGGATTGTCGCAATGACCAACAATTGACTGTTTCCAGAAACGAACAATGGGCGTCTCTCGTGGTAGATAGCGGTACCGGGGTCTCGGCATCCTCTCCGGGACAACTGAGACAGTTGAACACTGACACTGGCCTTTACGTTGGTAAGTACGCGTGCGAGAGATAGTGTACCGATCTTCAAACCGGTTACACACTCATCTCAGTAAGTTCGTATCGATTCGTTTGATCCTAAAGAGAAAAAAGCAAGGAAAAGAGGACGGACTGTTAGCTTCGTGCGCCGGAATTGCGCGAGCAAAAAGTCGCGCGCGAAACTAGCGTCCGGGAACAAAAAACTACTGAAAATAAAAAAACAAACATTTCCGCTTATTCAAACGGAAATTCAAACATTTCATTGTCTCTCTCGCAGGCGGTGCGCCCGACATCGTGAGGACGACGGGCGGTAGGTACGCCAAGGGCATCGTGGGTTGCATCAGCGACCTCGTGCTGGACTCGGACTTCTCCGTCGCCCTGTCGTCACCCGCTCAGGCGACCAACACGCACTCGTGCATCCCCTGAAAGAGAGATATTCGTGCCGTCCGACGTCAAGTGGTGTTGGGCCCTGCCCGAAGCTAGGATATGAAAATTTAAGGATAACGAAATCACGCGTGAACACACAAACACAACATACAGACACACATATACACACACTCACGTCACGTGTGAGTACGCGCTGAAGAAAAAAAAGCAAAAAACAAAATAACACTCACTCCACTGGCGAAGCCGAGCGGCGGTACTCGCGCCCCCGCGGGAGGGAGAGTGCCATCCCTTACCACGAAAGTGCATCTGTTTCTCGCGCATCCACGGCCGCGCGGTGATCTGCACGCGGTTCATCATTTTTGTACAGACTCATCCTTCCACGGTGGGACTCTCAGAGTGAAGGGAGTGGGTCGGCAACCGACCATCGTCGAGAGCGCGGCCATCGAGCGATGGTAGGCGGCTTTACTGTAAATATTAATAGGACGATCCTCTTTCCTATCCCTCTTCCTGCTCCTTTTACTCCACCTCCTGCTCCTCCTGCTTCCGACCCGAGGTACGCGACGATGCAGTGTCTAACGCTTGCCTCGCGGCATTGATCCTCGGCGTTGCGACTTCCTGTCGACCCTCGTGGGCTGATCTGCCGATTGGGAATGTAAGACTCCTCGGTGGCGTCGTGAGAAGTCACGTACGATTGAAGAGGTGAAGCCTGAGAAATTATTCTCCGCTTTGTTACCTCGCGAGTGATTATCGCCGCGGCCGTTGGCTTTCCGTAGAAATCGATGAGGTCTGATTTTTGCCGGTGGTCTCCGACTAATTCTTCTCCGATTAAATCGTGTCGGGAACGTCGTTAGATGAACGTGAGTCGTGCGAAGAAACGTAAAAGTTCGTTCGGTGATATAATTCGTTGACGATATTAGTTGATTAACCCCATTTTGCTTCTCTACGCGCTAAAATTGCTTAAACTCGCGTGCACAGGGGCACGGTGGTGAGGTCGCGACGGCGGTCGCATTAATTCCGAACGAGTCGGGAACGCACATTAACGCAGCCAATGAAAATCGCCGGCAATTTTGCTCGGCGGATCGGGAAAAGTAAGAGACGCGTCGAATCAAGTTCGGAACTTCCTAACGTCCTTAATCAAAACCGCCGCGTACCATTAACAATTTCAACTTTGCCCATATCCGAAAATTAATAGTCGCCCTGCGGAAATAGTCCCGTAATTAAATTCGCGTAAACTAGATTATTGTTCATAAAATTCAATCAAAATTCAAAATTCATCGTAATAACAACGTCTATTTTGCAACGACAGCGGCGGAGCCAATAAAGCATCGCCGAGAGAAAGGGTGGAGGGAGGGTGCGTACGCGCGTACGTGTTCGGTCCCGTCGAATCTAAAATTCCACAACTAAAAACCAAGCCCGCAAACAATGCCTCAATTACGCGGCGCGCGCGGCATAATAACGGGAGAGAAAATACGACTTGTCGCGAGTGTGCGATGCGCGAATAATGGAAGTCGTTGCACCAGGACAATGCCCGGTCGGACATGAAATTTGACGGAGCGCGTCTCGAAGACGGCTTTCGGCCTAATAAGATAAAAGTATGTAGAAAAAGAAAGAAAGAGAGAGAGAGAGAGTGTGAGAGAAAGAGAGAGAGAAAAAAAAGCAACCCCTCCGCGTCAATTTTGATTATTCCCTCCGACCGGATGTTATCTTCGACACGAAGTGTCGTTATCTTCGATCCTAGCGAGTTCAAAGCCTTCGAGATTTATCGAAAAAATTCGGAGCGCGTCTGGATCGGCGCTGGATGAAGTCTCATTTAGTAGAAAAACGAGCAAGTTGGGAAAGGTGTGTGTACGTCTGTGTGTGCGTGTGTGTATATGTCTGTCCGTGTGCACGTGTGTGTCTGTCTGTCCGTGTATATGTGTAGACGTATATGTGCGTGCGCGCGCGAGAGAGAGAGAGAGAGAGAGAGAGAGAAATGAAAGTTTCTCGGAAAACCGATATTTTACATTACGTAGAGTTAGTTAGATAGTTAGATTAGTAACGACGAACTGTTCCATTCGTTATTCGTTAGCTCCCATGATTGGATCGAATAACATTCGCGCGCGCTACTTTTGCATTCTTCATGCGGACGGTCCGCTTAAATTCTCCCTTTCGTATCCCTTTAACAGATCGTCGATCGTTTCCTGTTTCTCCTGTTTTTTTTTTCTTCTCTTCCCTTCAATTGTCGACAACGACGACGACGACGACGATTTTCAGCGGACTTCGTTGTACCGAGCGCGCTAAACGTTTGACTTTACTTTCGTCGCGCGATATATCGATGGAAAAAGTTGTCCCACTTGTCCTATCCAGCACCGATCCGGACAGCGTGCTCGCTGCTATGTTGTAACTACGCGAATCATCGCGTAACGCAGCTTAAGACTAACGATCTTAGATCTAACGATCTTAGGACTCGCCACGATCATTCTCTAGCAGCTAAGTCACAAGCGCGCGCAGCCACGAGCACGAGTTTTCAGTTCCACGACGATATCGAGGTTAATATTGTGATCGATACGAGTAACTACTAATAAAAAAAAAAGTAGGAGAGCTATACCATGGACCAAACACCAAAACATCTTTATCGCGTCTCTATCCCAACGAGAGTATGTATAAAAGGTGCGCGATCGCGCGCACAAAGTGCATATCCCGTTTGAAAAGTGCAGGGCTCGCGTCCTTTGCGAACGATCTCGTCCGGTGCATATATATATATATATATATATATATATATATATATATATATATATATATATATATATCGGCGGGCATACTTTTGTAAATAATTTACACGTTCTCGGCTGTATTCCGTTCCTACAGAAACGCCATATCTCGCGAACGATGCTTGACGATCACGAGCGCAGCAATAATAAGTATCTCTCCATCGTCCTGTATCGATGACGGAACGATTTCACCATTTTAGCGGCTACTACGCGGAAACGAAAAGGGTGATCGAAGTTTCCTCGTTAACGTACTTATTAGCTCACGTCGGTGAAGCGAGTCGCTTGATTAAGAGATTACAGCACGATTCACGCTTCAATTTTGCCAGGGTATAAATCGTGAGTTGTCGTACGAAGGGAAGCACTCGCGGTATATAACGTAGGTTTTCCGTTTGGTTTATCGATTAGTTCGACGCGACACACTTTAGTCAACGAAGGAAAGCGAGGGAAAGAGAGAATAAAATGGCACTTTACACATACGTATAAAAAAGAGAGAGAGAGAGAGAGAGAAAGAGAAACAAATTATATCTTTATTATGCAGATGCTCGTCGCATATTTTTTTATCTTCATAGAGCGTTTCACTCAATCCTGTGAACACACAATTTAGCACTACCGGTCGGAAAATCCCAGGTCAATATGTATACTCATCCTATCTTTATGAGACGAGAGAAAGAGATAGAGAAAGCGAGAGATTGCGAGTGTGAGAGAGCGAGCTAACGAGGGAGAGAGAGAGAGAGAAAGTGTGTATGTATGTGTGTATGAAGGGAGAACAGGAGAGAACAGTGAGATAAGATAAAGTAAGGCATAGATTGTAATCGATGAACTTTACTTTTGTCGTCGCACGGAAATGATTTCGAAATGACCTACTCGAACACACACACACATCATAAAAGCAATCGGCTATAGTCAATTTTGTACGGATGTTATTTTCGGGAAACTATATAATAATATATCAAAGGTGAGTGGTAGTCGCGTAGAAAGTGTAACGATATACAATTTAAATAATTGTACACGTCAGGATTAGCGGGCGGGTAACTCTCGTCCTGATTAATCCTCCCACGCCGCGACCTTTCGCGAAGGAAAACAAGAGAAAGGGTAACGAAATCAAAGCAATTGAAGCGCGCAGGATTCGTTTTTACGACCGGGAGTTTTATAATCTTCTTTGCTCATTTATTATTATCGTATAATATAAAATTCATTATAATTCTAGCCGTATAATTCCGCCCCGCGCGATGTGCTGCGCGATTCTTCAGAAATTACTCGGATCCCTCGTGGTGGCGCGCAATTAAATGTAAACTCGATTTCGATTAAACTCCTGATCTTTTTTGCCTGAAACATTCCGTGCATCCAAAACTTCGTCACGCGTGGGAGGATTAAGGGCGCCTTTTCTAGCGTAATTCGATGTACAATATTTCGCGTAAGTATGCATTGAGTGATTTGAGAGAAAAAGGGAGAGAGATAGAGAGAGAAAGAGAGAGGCTTTTGTGCTCGTACGTTAAATCATTTTGTATGGCACATGACTCCGTTCCTTCGCACCGGCAAGTAACACGAAGGAATTCACGACACGGGGAATTCCCCATCGGGAGAAATCCGCGTGCGTTCTTGCTCGTTTTGTAATTTGCAACGCATCCGACTCGGAAATATATGGTTCCTGGACGCATTCCACCCAATGCCGTCGGAATAATTTGCAATGTGTGCGACGTATTCGAATATTCGATAATCATATCCCGGCCGGGGCAATTATTCCCGAGAACGGGATTCCTCCGCGTGTTTGGAATTGCGCGGAATATCAGTCGATCGGGCCGACAACGAAAATTCCCCTGCTGCCGGAGACCACCTCCTCGCGAGAGAAGGTGGCTCGCATGACGCGCGCATTGACGATTAAATGACGATTAAATGACGCGTCGGATGTATTCGCGTCGCCGTTCCCGTTCTGACGCGAAGTCAAATTTTTCGGAGAACGAGAGAGCCAGAGAGAAACTGGCTGTCTCCGCAGGACAATCAAACGAACATTCGCGGAAATCACCTCAACTGTATAACGTGATTCGCCGCCGATTGTATAACAGAGTGCTCGTGTTTCAACGTGACGGCCGCTTTCTCGAGTATTCGAGTACCGAGTCACTCGGGGAGAGGAACAACACACACACACACACGACGGCAGTTCCGATTCTAACACCAACGTACGATAGTAGGCCGAAGCTTTAATCATTAATTAGCGCTCACCTTCGCGCTTGTGTCGTCTCCACGATGTGTCGTGCGTTTTCTATTCGAAGATCAAAAACCAATCAGAGGAAGTTTCATATCTCTTGTACGTAATGTAAGGAAAGAACGATAAGCTCCGCTGAGAAGCGTATTGAGCGGCTATTTCGGTCCCTGCGAAAGTGTCCTCGCGACGCAAGACCGAGAATCCTCTCTCCGTTTCGGTACGTGTGTGTACGTGAGTATGTGTGAGCGCGTGTGTGTGGTGTGTGTGCGCGCGCGCGCTTTAAACGCGCCATGTCGCGCTAGAGCCAGCGAGACAACCTTCGAGCTGCGACGATTTTATTTCTAAGATATTGTTAAATTCCACGGAGATGGAATTGACCGGCGAGCATGCGTTCGTCGACCCGTTCCCTCCCCGCGGAGATTCGATACAAATTCCTTGATCTCACGTGTAAGACGAATTAAATTCCGTGAAAAGTGTTGAGTAGCTGCAAAAGATTTGTCATTTATATTAGAAAGGAGGATGGGGAGTCGTCGTTGGCTGTTGTGAAAAGTAGCGAGTCGATGTTTCATTCTTTTGATATTCGTATGGATTATTAATCCCTCGAAACTGGATAAATACTATGTTCTGTTTCTCTTGATAAACGCGACAGGTCTTTTGCATCCACTTAACGCCTCGTCCAGAAGCGAAAATACGTTCGATTTTGCGAATAACGAATTTACAGATATATGCAGCGCTCACAAACAGGTGACATCCGTTATCCTTGATAACGCGCGTCGTCCGCTTGTGACTATTGCTAGTTATAAGAGTGCGATGATTATTGCTTATTTATGTAACACGAATTGTACAATGTGTGTGCGCGCAGCAGCGCTGTGTTGGTGCAATTGTCCGCGAAGCGCGCGTCAAAAATCAGTTCCGCAAAAAATGTTTCGCTAATCGACGGTAAATATATGTGCACGGCGTGTGGTTTTTTCTGTTTCTTCTTACGTTACTATGAGCGTTATTGTAAGCGTGAACAAATCAAAGTCGATCGCGAGAGAGAGAGAGAGAGAGAGGGAGGGAGAGCTCAGATTGGAAAAACGGCGTCGCTTTCGCAGGAAAGTCGCCGGGATTCGAGGCGTTCGAGCTTCGGACGAGCCGATTGAATGCGATGGAGAAGGCGATGCCCGGGTGGAATTCTTTTTCTCGAGTGGCTGCGCCACTCTCGTTCGTACACGAGAAATTTGTCGGAGACGTGTCCAATCGTCTGCGGCAATTTTCTTCACGCGAAATCGATACCGTTGCTTTTCTAAAGCAGGTCTAAAAGTTAAAAAGATATCGTCTGATCCGCAGTGTGATTTATTTATAATAATCTATTTAATTTTTTATATTTATATCATAAAAAAGGAGGAGAAACATAATACTATAATTTGATTATAGTAATACCTTTCTCCTCTTGGAGGTATATTATTTGTTACAGAAGAGGCGCACGAGAGAGGAAAGGCAAGTGTGAAATGATATCGCAAATTAGTCAAATCTCCGAAATTACACGAGCTTTTTTACGCGAGTGCTTTTTCCGCTAGCAAAATTCATTTGCTGACACTGGTACTTTTAGACAGAAGACGCCGTTTTTCTGCGTGAGCTTATTATTAATTCCTCCGGCTCGATTCGAGTCGACGTGTGCGACGTGAGAAAGAGGGAAACGCGCGTATAAATCGATCTCGTATTCGCCCTTCGGGAAACGCCCGACGACGGGATCCTTTCGCTCGAGCGACGGATGATTCTTCGCGACGGGTCGATTGTAAAAAGAGAGAGATAAAAAAAGAAAGCAAGCAGGAAAGACGAACGCGATCGAACGCGCGTATTTCATTTCACAAGCATCCTAGAACTCACAACATCGAAGTTATTTCTTGTTACTTTGGATATATACAGGGTGGGATGTTTAAACGAGAACGTCGCCGCGATGAGAAATTGAGGTTTGCCGACGACAAGAGAAAAAAAGAAAAATATAGAGATTCGCAAAAATATGCATCCGAAAGCAGCGGACGGACTAGAGTCTTTCGCGTTCTCGTGAAAATAACTTGCCCTGCGTGCCTCGGTGTGTAATCCTGTGCGGGAATAGTTTATTCGTAAAACATCCACGACTTTCAACCCTTTCGCCACTTTTACGCTTATAATCGGACGAACAAGATCCCACGGTGCTCATCAGTCTGCGCGATTCGCGTCTACTCGCGGTTTATCTGTCGGAAGAATATCGCAATCAAATTAAACTCGCCATTGAAATTTCATCGATAAAGAATTCAGCCTCAAATCGAAGCAATCTTGGATTGCTCGCGTTTCCCCGGTATTAACGACAAGTTTCACGGGCGAACACGTATTATCTTAAGGAATAATCAGCCTTCTAGTAGAAACAAGAAGTAAAAAAAAAGAAAGCAGGAAACGCGCGTGTACGCGCGGTAACGTTCAGCGAAAGGGTTGAGGCGCGATCGTGAAACTTGCAGGCAGAGAATCCTTCAGCGGCTCGGAACGATTGAAAAGTACGGTGTAATAAGGCTGACGCGTGTGTACTTTGCATCATATCCACTTAAATTTAAAGAAAATCGCTGGATATCACACCTCAAGACAAGAGAAAAAGAGATAGAGAGGAAAGAAAAGAAACGAAAAGAAATGAAAAGATAAAAAATGCACTATATATTGAAAAAAAAATGGAGAAAAAATATCAATACATATTAATATATAAATATATAAATATATATATATATATATATAATAGATATTATATTATTACTGAATATTATATTAATATATGATGCTATATATATATTAACTATTTCTATTATGTCCGTCTGCAAAGTCTATTAGAAGAGTCTATCCTGTCGACCTATTCTTACGACCCTTGTGGATCTCCTCGGATACACTGTATGTACATACATATGTGCGCGCGCGCGTGTATCGACGAGTGTGTGTGTTCGGCGACAGAGAGAAGAGGAAGAGGATAAAGAAAAAAGAAGAGGAAGCAGCGGGACGATTTCCTTCAATAACAGCGTCTCGGACACCGCCGACGCAAATGGAGAGCGCGCGCGCGTTGTTAGTTTAATACCGATACACGTGTACGCGCACACGTACGAGACTCTGCGAGCGACCAGGTCGCGCGGGTCTCCCGTCCTCGTTTCCGACGATCAATGTGTAAGATCTTCGTCATTAAATGTTCGTGACACGCTCGTGGCAATAAAAATAGGACGCTACGTACGATCGTTTTGCGAATTTCTCGCTTCAATCCTCTCCGGCGGTGTCGTCGGCGCGCGTCGACGTTCGCACGCGAGTCCTGGTTGCAATTATAAAAATCGAACGGCCTCTCCCAGGAGAAGCTCACTTCGAACGGATAACTCCGTGCAACGCGTAATATTTTCTTTTAATTTAACTTCAAGACAGAGTTATATTCGCGCGAGGATATTGCGGAGTTTTCCTCGGGCTTTTTAGGAATTTCTTTCCCAAGATCTCTCGAGTAACAGACAGCATAGACTTGTAGAAGACGTCTGAAAGAAATGGTCGTCGAACAGAAATGGCATGTCTTCGAGACGTCCTTTAATAGTTCGTACTGTCTACTAGTGTCGATCGAAGTGAAACTTTCGATCGTTAATCCGCCGTGATCGCAAATCGCGCGCGAACGTCGACGCCTATCTCGACGCGGCCTGCGTAATAATCTTGCGACACGACTCCGCAAATGATTCTTTGCGAGATTAGCGTGTATCCTGGCTGCGTTTCGACGGAAAACTGCGGACCGCGTAGCCACGATTAAACGATAGCGACCGATTTATTCGCATCGCGAACACTTTTATACGTGTGTGATTTACATAAAAGAAAGAAGAGAAAAAGAAAGAAACAGAAAAGGCCCGAAATATTGAGTTGACACGGCGGCGGCAGCGGTGGTGGTAGTGACGGCGCACATCGGTCGGTCCGCGACCGCGAGGCGCGATTATTTAATGGATTGTGTACGTATACGTTTTGAACACGCAGTGGTTAAATTCATATGAACTATGAGCAAATGTGTGTGTCTCAGCCCATGTTGTCAAAGCATCAATAAAAAAAAGAGGTTTTATAAAGGCGCGCCTTTCATCCTCCGTTTTCTCTCTGTTATTTTTTTCAAGTTTCAATCTCACGCGATAAATAAACGTTGAAACCAGCCGTTTTGTTCCAACCGGGTATTCTTGCCAAGAGATAGACGGATGCATTACGAATGAATGATGAAATAATAATGTTTAGTTTATGTAATAATGTTTAGTTTATTGCGCATACATTACTTGCGAAACTTGAGAGCTAACTTTTGTCGAGCAAAATAAGCGTACTTCAACGGGCTATAACTTCCGCAAAAATGCATATAACGGCAATAACGGAACGGTTCTGGAAGCATCTTATAGTTTCAACATTCCAGTTTCTTTTTATTTTCGAATATAAAGATTTTATGTTTGTTACAATGTTTCACAATTATAAATCGAAATTCCACGAGTATCAAAATTTTTTATAAAGTTTGTCGAGTTGACGTAAATAAGAAGCGACAAATAAATGGGAGTAATATCATTGGTAATGTGTGAATTTTCTCCTGTAATTTGCGTACAAGCATATTACAATGCAATTTTTTTGCCGAATTATTTAATGTTTAAGGAAAATGGTACTTTATCTTTAATCGCTCACAGTAAGCAAACGTAATAGCATTTGTTAGGAAATGAAAAGAACGCTGAAAGTTTCCTCTTTAAGATGGATATATCATATTTCTTATGAAAATTCATTTTTATTGTAAAAACTGAACTGAAAGATCGAATTGAAAATTGGACAGTCGCCATTTATCATATAACTCGATATATATTGACAATAAACAATAGTAATATTATGAGTTCTATATAACTGAAAAGAAGAAACTTCAAACTTTAAAATGCTTCTAAAACTATTTCGCTGTCGTTATTTTTACAGAAATTATAATCTGTTAAATTCTGCATATGTTTTGATATAACAGAAAAGTGCACTTGATTCGAAATAGTTTTAGAAGCATTTTAAAGTTTGAAGTTTCTTCTTTTCAGTTATATAGAACTCATAATATTACTATTGTTTATTGTCAATATATATCGAGTTATATGATAAATGGCGACTGTCCAATTTTCATTCTATTACTGCTTAAAATTTATTACTATTTCATTTTTATTTATTTTTTTCATTTATTCAAATATAAAAGATGTATAAATAATGTATATCCTTTGTGTAGGATGTAGGTGCTAAGCCTATCTCACCTATTGAATAAAGAATACCAGGAAGGAGCATAAAGAGAAAATCCTTTGTTACAAGTGCGAAGGTGACGTAATGAATGTGAATCAAATGCGATTATCGATACTATAGAATCGAAGTAAATTTTATGACGTTTAATATTGTCAATTAATTGAATAGACAAAAGTGCGTAAACGTATTGAAGAGAAAATTATTACAAGTGACTAATTTTATTTCCTTCACCAATATGAGCAAAATATAAATACAATTTTTCTATTATTCTTTTAAAATTAATATTCCTTTGCTATATATATATTATATATACTTCCAAGATGTTTAAAGTATACCGCCAGACTGTGTTTCCGGTAACGTCACTTATGACGTATTTACGTCATCAAATTGAACCGATGCAACACAATGGATTACCCACGATATATCGTAACATGCTCCTTCTTGGGGCCCTATTCCGTAACCATTTATCGACAGTTGTCGGTAGATGTCGTTGCGCAGCTTTTCTATAGTATAAAAAAGCTGCGTAAAGACGTCTACCGATCCGACAATTGTCCGTAAGTAGTTACGGAATAGGGCCCCTTTCTCTCTCTCTCTCTCTCTCTCTCTCTCTCTGGTATTCTTTATTCAATATATTCTTTATTCTTTATTCAATGATCTCACTTTATCACTAGTTCTCTTGGTCGAGTCGTATTCGATTGGCGGCTTGTAGCGGAGACTTTGGGACTAAACTTCGAAATGATCTCTCACAAGTTAAGACAAGAACCTTTTTTTACCGACATTTATCGATATCTAGTCGAGATTCAAACTTTTTCACATGCGAGGCTCAACTTTAACAATTAATTTCTTAAAAACTAAGGCCGTTATTCATAGTCGAATTTTATTTCAAAACCATCTTAAGTAATGTCTTAAGATGCGAATACGGCTCTGTGATTAGTTCATGACATCTTAAAACAGTACTTAAGATGATCGGATGATATAAGATCGGCCTAAGACTATGAATACCGATCTAAGACGAAACGCGCGTATATTTTTATATATGAGTCCATATTTTTTGTTGATCGATAGAAACACTACTTCTATATTGGGAGTGTGCATTAATTTTATGGGTTTTTTTTGGTAAAAATACGGCTTTATTGTGAAAAAATGGTTACAAATTGATCATTCAAAATATTGTCCATCGCTAGCCACTACTTTTTCCCATCTTTCTGGTAATAGATGGATTCCACGTCGAAAGAACGACACATCTTTTGAGGTTATCCACGAATCGACCCATTTTTTGGTATCCTGATAAGAATGGAAGCGCTGCTCAGACAGGTCATGAATCATCGATTGAAATAGGTGGTAATCGGAAGGAGCAATATCTGGAGAATACGGCGGGTGTGATAGGACATCCCAGTTAAGTGCTTCTAATGTTTCCTTGACCGGTTTCGCCACATGTGGCCGAGTATTGTCTTGCTGGAAAATCACTTTGTCGTGTCTTTTCGCATAATCTGGCCGTTTTTGCTTCAATGCTCGGCTCAATTGCATCAATTGTTGTTGGTAGCGTTCCCCAGTGATGGTTTCGTTGGGTTGGAGCAGCTCATAATACACTACACCTAGCTGATCCCACCAAATACAGAGCATGAGCTTGGCGCCATGAATATTCGGCTTTGCCGTCGACCCTGATTTTTTGCGCTTCGGATTATCGTAGCGTATCCATTTTTCATCACCCGTCACGATACGATGCAAAAAATTTTTTCTTCTGTGTCTTTGAAGCAACAATTCACAGGTCATTTTACGCCTTTCGACATCCCTCGGCTTCAATTCGTACGGCACCCAATTTCCTTGCTTTTCAATCATTCCAATGGCCTTCAAACGTCTGGAAATCGTTGATCGATCAACATTTAATGATTCTGCAAGTTCTTCTTGCGTTTGACTCGGATCTTGATCGAGTAAAGCTTCCACTTCCTCATCTTCAAACTTTTTCGGCTGGCCTGGACGTTCCTTGTCTTCCGTGTTAAAATCACCTTTTTTATAGCGTCGAAACCAGTACTCACATGTTGAAATCGATGGAGCATAATCACCATAAGCTTCCGACAGCATTCGTTGACTTTCAGCAGCACTTGTTTTCAAATGGAAGCAAAAAAGCAAAGCTTCCCGCAAATTGCGTTTTGTTGGCACAAAATTCGACATATTCAATGTTCAAAAAAACAATGTTGTTTACACCTCGGCAAAATGACACATGTTGAAACCTAAAGCCATATAATGGTGCTTTGACATGAAACAGACAAAAATCTGAGAGCGGCCACGCCATACGTTTTGGCCGACATCAATTTTCACGCTGTTCGATACGTCATCTGTACCTATTTTTGAGGTGGAACTACGTTCCCTATGCCCATTTTCAGACGCTGCCGGTAAGGTGTCAATTTGTTGCGTGTCCATTTTAAATTCTACGCCCATTTTCTGACGATTCGTGTCCGTGCTAAGTGCATAATTGCGTGGTTAAGAACATGGACAGTCCATGTTTTCAATCACGCAATTATGCGCTTAACACGGACACGAATCGCCAGAAAATGGGCATAGAATGGACACACAACAAATCGACACTTTACCGGCAGGGTCTGAAAATGAGCGTAGGAAACGTAGTTCCATCTCAAAAATGGGTGCAGATGGCACATCGAACAGCGTGAAAATCGGTGTCGACCAAAACGTATGGCATGATCGCTCTCAGGTTTCTTTCTGCATGAAGGTAGTGTAACGTCCGGATCTATTTTAGAACATTAATAATATATTATTATAGACCGGGAGGCCGACTTGTCTGATTTCAGACATCACTAGATATTTTATCCCTACGTTACTAGATGTAAGTATGTGCGCATATGCATATTCGCGAGCGTTAAAACATTATAATTAAAATGCCGAATGCTGCGTGCTGCTGGAGAGTCTCGAAATCGACGGATCGACCCAAAGAAACCGCTATCGCTCAGTGCGATAAGCCAACATAAACAGGAGCATGAAAACTGAATCCCAAACACCACTCAGGACACCGATGCGGTGACATCATGCAAAGGAATGAATCTCTTCCCTCGCCATAACTCCATGGACCAATCGGAGAACGACTCTCAGCGACAAAGCGACATATAAAAGCGCGCGCATTTGTAGAGAAGGCAATTATTTTCTTCTCATAGTTAGTCTCTGGTAGCTTCGTGTACTTATTCAGCATATTATACTTAGCCGTAAAATCCGATTGTGTTGCAATTACTTTTGCCTACCCTTCATATTTCAAACGTTGCGAAATCAAATTCTGAATCGCGGGTCGCATCAACCCGCGTGGTATCGGAACATCTGAGGCCGAGCCAGGAGAACAAGCACCGCTGATTTTTCGCCAGATTCATCAATCGTTTCGCCAGGCTCCTGAGACCCAGGGTAAACTCGGTGAAAAGCAGAGTGACCCAAAAGCGGAGTCATCACTCTGTTGACCGTCCACGTAAGTCACTGATTTCACTACTTTCAAATTTCCCTATATAGTTATCTATCGTGGACGTAACAGTAGCAACAATATGGCCCGATGCGATATAGTACTAATTACGCCATCTCTTGAAAATCCTTTAAAATTAAATGCACACTCCCAATATAAAATATACTAATGGCTCCTGCACACAGAACGCGGCAACGTTTGCCGCGCGGCGGAAGTTCGTGCGACAGCCAATCAATATGCTGCTTTCCATAATAGCCTTGTAGCTCTCACGGAAAAACAACATATTGATTGGCTGTTGCGCGAACTTCCGCCGCACGGCAAGCGTTACCGCTCCTGTTGGCAGAAGCCAAAACAGATTGATTATTCGAGTGCTTCGTCCACTTTAATTTAGTTTTCAAGATTTAAATTAACCGTTTCGCTATCGTAATTTTTGCGAAAATTATGTGCTGAATTCTGAATATGTTTCAATTTAAGAAATTAATTATTAAATTAAGTCTCGCGTGACTCGTTGAATCTCTCGGAGTAGTTAAAGCCTGATCTACAATATGCTCTTTGGTTCCTGCTTCCTTCTCATTATCTCTTTCTGACTCAAACATTAAGCTTTAAACCAGAAAAAGACAGAAGACAAGAAACAGAACACAAAGAGCATATTGTAGATCAGGCTTAATAGATGTTGATTAAAAAGGTTTGTGTTCTAGCTCGTGAGAAGCGACTTATAGCATGTTCGACTGGCTCTGGGTTAACCCACTCTGGGTTATTCAGCCTACGTTTATTGGTCGAACAAGTACTTATAAGCTTTATGATTGGTAGTAGACACTTATGACGTCATTAATCATTCTCGGAGCGATTAACTCAGGGCCAATTGAACACGTTATTAGTTCCGAAGTCTCCGCTACGAATTGTACGATGGCGGCTTGTAGCGGAGACTTCGGAACTAAGTCGCCTCTCACGAGCTAGGACACGAACCTTTTTTAACCAGCATTTACCAACCGCTTGGTGAAGACAACTTTTTTGACAAGCTGTGAAATCTATCTTTAATAATTAATTTCTTGAAAACTAAGACGAATTAGAAACGTTTCCACATATTATTTATATATGATTCTATATTTTTCAATATTATTTTTCCATATTCAATTGCACGATAATCGGTACAAATATTAATGTTTCTTGAAATATGCTAACAAACGTAATTGAATATTCGAGCGTTTCGTCCGACTTAGTTTTCGAAATTTAAGTTATCGTACTTAATTATCTTTATCATTTTGTATTTTTATGAGTTTTAAAATGTATCTTAAAGGTAATCTGGACGAATGCTAGCTGGAATTGTCTTATGTCACTTTTTTCCTCGAGATCCTTTGTCGCGCACGATCCATCGCGCAAATAATATGCTCTCCCCTCGCTTTTCTTGTGAACGCTGCGCGTTCGTTCGCGCTGACGCACTTATAATTCTCGGAAAGCGGCAGTAGGCCGTCACATTATCGCCGTCATTGTCGCCGTTGTCGCTACCGTTTGCTGCCGTTACGAGTGGTGTGTGATGAGGACGAGGAGTAATTCCGCTTGGAGCGTTGGGAGTTCCTGCAATTTTTGCGATTTCCTCGTGACGCCGAGCGGATGTCATTCGCGCGCTAAATGTCATGACGTTACGACGACGACGGTGCATTAGGATCGTCGCGCATCTCGACAGTGATAATATCTGCTTCTCCTCGTCATATCCCCGTCGTGTATATTGTGCTCGCGTGTCTCGTAGTTCGCGATGAGCGTTGGCAACCTTTAAGAAGGTAATTGAGACAGTGATTATCACTGCGTCGCTTAAATGGTACGTATACGCACGCTTTGTTGCACGTCCATCGATTCCTCTATTGTTCCCCGCGCGCGTCGCGTCGCGTTGTTAAATGGCAGCGATGACAGTCAATGCCATTTAAATACGACCGTAACCTCATTTCGCCTCGCGATAATAAAACGACCCACGAGCATCCGGGAGAAATCTAGAGAAATTCATAATAGCCCGTCGTTGGTGTATCGTCCGAATCACGCGAGTTGTTAAGTTTGTTATCTCACGAACTTGTCGCGTAGACTTCCTTGTTTTACGTTTCGTTGTTACGTAGCTTACGAATCCAGTTGATGACTGTGCGTCGCTAAAAACATATATGGATTCTCCGAATATCTAATAATTTGTAAGGAATACAGTGTGAACGTGATGTATTTCCTTAAAAGATTACATTCTGCTGCCTTTAATTTTTTTAATTACTACTGTATGTTTTGATGATAATTTAGCTGAATATTACACTTGAAACATCTTACACTTGAAGCTGTCTAGGCAAGAATATTTCTATTAATTTTTTTATAATGTAATTTTAAATGAAACTAGTGATTTGGAACTATCATTTAGAAGTATATGGTCTGTTCTTTTCAGCTGCACTGCTGAACTGGTGTAATAAGTTAGAGTGAGAAAACATATACTTAACATATACTTGTCTCACTTTAACTTATTACACCAGTTCAGCAGTGCAGCTGAAAAGAACAGACCAATAGTTAACTATTTAGAATTATTTAGAACTATTTAGAAACTATTTAGAATTATTTAGAACTATAATTATATATGAATTGAAAATGATATGTGCTGATACATAGAATAGATCTGGTATTCTTAAATTCCAACTATATATGTCATTGGTAAACAATGATCATTATTACTGTTTTATTATATAATTGCAATATTATGAGTTAATTGCAGTGTTATGAATACAATACATGCAATTGTTACATAAGATATATATGATGGTTTTTTATTGTTTATTGCAGGCTTTACGTATAATGTCAGCCATAGTGCCAACCACACACAATGTGACTGATATTGATCATGTAACTGAGAAGCAAAAACTACTGGAGGATCTGTTGGCTGCTGCGAAAAACTGCCATGTCAGGTTTGGAGGACGCGCTGAACTTGCCACAGAATCAGAAGTGTGTGTGGCACAGCTCTGCCATATATTCGAGTCGATATTCAGTCATGGGATAAAGACAAATTGCATAGAGAAGATCAATTCAGCATTCAGGTAATATTTATCATACTGTAATGCAGTTAAACATGTCTATCATGATTTTTCTACAATTTCCTGTGCGATATATGGCAAGCACAAGGTCATGAAACAGACCACACGTTTATCCAATATATGACTCACGAGCAACATGATAAATGTCTGAATGATTGTAGTATGTTGATAAATTTGCAACTCGAATGCTTGGCGGAATGATCGTGTCCGCATGACGTTATACAATCGCGAGAATGTGTAAAATATTAAAAAGAATCTCTTCATATTTGTTTTACAGACATGTGTCTGACCTGGTCTCCGGTAGCAATGGTAATAATAAACCTGGCACTATGGCCTATATAGCATTCTGGCCGTGCATAAAGGAGCAACTCACTTGGCACGAGCAGGAACGCTTCAGCGTGTTGCGGAAAGTACGTACGGATTACGGCCGTGGTAGAGCGTGGCTGAGAGCTGTCCTGAACGAGAAATCTCTGGAACGGCATTTACACGCCATCATAGATCCCGGCGCATTGTCTCCTTTTTACGAGGAGTGGGCCTTCTTACTCGATCAAGAGAAGTGTTCTGTATTACCTAATGTAGCCGCAGGTATATGCTCTCCAGATAAACACATTGCTTGACTCTTTATTGCGAGGCATAAATTAACTCGGTTCTTTTGTAGGTCTTGGTACAATTTTATTTGCGATAAGAATAGATAATGAAGAACTCGACGATAATTTGAAAGGGAAGGGGATGGACAAGGGTAGGGGCGTGCAGTCGGAGCCGGTTATTCCTGCACTAATTCCAGGTGAGATAAACTAAGCTTAATTAAGTCAAGCTAATTAAGTCGATATTCAGACAAGATAAAAAATGAAAAATATTAAGTACTGAGGCAATTTTTATCGAAAATCGAAGTGCTTATACATCCAAAGATTAGATCCTCTTGAAACACAAATTAATTTAAAACTGTATTTAATAGAAAAACGGCATACTTGTTGCGTTAATGCGCAATAAAAGAAATTTTAAACATTTTTGAAACTATTCAACGTACTGAGATCATGACTTGTCAAACAGGGCCTCCCACGTCTCAACACGAGAAGAAAAAAGTACCAGTCCATATAATTTCGTTTGACGATGACGAGGAGAGAGACGAGCGCAAAGAGACCACGACTTCGATGAGCGCTCCAGCAACGTGTCTCAGTTCTCCTACTGCACCCTCGACTAAAGATTCTATCTCTCCTTGTTTGGATCAAGTTCCTGAACCTCAAGTCGATTCCAATGATAACACGGTGGACAATACGAAGTTTCCCGAGTGGGAACAATGGTAGGTGTCTTTCACGATGATTGCGTAACTAACAGTCTTAAGATGCGCTTTTTGTATATGAAACACCGATTTTATTAGTGAGTCCTTCGAAGAGGAGAAGATTTTAACTCCCGTGACGGATGCTGAAAATTTGGGCGGCCTTGTACCTGTGTCACCACTTGATCAAACGTTAGACGATATGTTAGTTACTCTACCAAACTATTTAGACGTGAGTTTATGCAATAATTATATTTAAGAGCTGTATGTTTCTTTTTCTTTTTTTTCTCCGGGAATTTTAAGAATACATTTTTCTTGTGAAACGTTTTCATTCAGGATTCATCGGAACTGACAGAGGCGGCAGTGGAGGCTACGGAGCCGTTAGTCGGTTTAGACTTCCATGTAGATCCAGAGAATTTAGATATAGATACGTTACGCGTAAGACTTTTAGCTATGACGGAAGTGTTGGAGCAAGCTAGGGAAGACGCTATAACGAGCAGATTACAATTAGCCCGCTTCCAGAGACAGCATCAGCATTACTTGGAAAGACATGAGTTGCAGTTGCAAACATTAAACAGGTAATCACAGATTGATTAATTCACAAATATTTAAATTTAAATTATATAGAAAAAGATATCTAAAATATAAACAAATGAAAATGGTAGGATCATTGAGCTAAATATGATTATGTTCGTTGACAAATGATATATCAAGCGGTAAAACAATTTGTAAATTCTAACTTTCGATTGTAGGGAGAACGAACTTTTGCGACAGCAATTGCGTAAGTACGTCACCGCTGTCCAAATGTTACGAAGGGACTCGAATTCCACAACCATGTCTGAAGAAGACCCAGCGTTAGATTATCACAACGAGGCGCGGCAGTACGAAGAAAAGTTGATACAAGTCGCGGACATGCATGCCGAATTGATGGAATTCAACGCCAGGTTGACGTTGCAACTGACAAACAGGTACGAGTCGTTGCAAAGTTACTGCTCAGATAACGTTCGCAATATATTCCTTTTCGCTTATCTCTTGCTTGTCGTCCTTTAGAGACAGATTGGTGAAGATGTTGCAAGCGGAATTGGAGTGTCTGCGAGGTCCGTTAAACGAGGATGATTTACCCTCGGATCCACCGTGTCTCATTCATATATGGATTCCATCGGTATTTCTCACGGGACAACCATCTGATATCCACCACGTTTATCAAGTACGATTATTCTTCCTCTTAGCGCTGACATTCTTTCGTTATGAAGCTTACATCGGACTAAACTGACTTATGTATCTTTACACTTTTGTTAAATATAGATTTATGTACGCATAAGGGACACAGAGTGGAACATTTATCGACGGTATGCTCAATTTTACGCTCTCTACAGAGAGCTAAAGAAACACGACGCTATCGTTACTACTTTTGAATTTCCGCCAAAGAAAACAATAGGAAATAAGGTAAATTATGTGAAGGTCCCTCCCCCCCCCCCCCCCCC